ATTTCGAGCATATATTTATTAATCAACATAATATCAGGAAAATGAAAATCATTGAATTTAGATACTGTTTAGAAATTTTGTATAACACACATTTCAGCCTAAAATAATGTCCGACAAAAATATAATTTTATAAATATAATTTTATAATGATAGAAATTGCACATATAATTATATTATGTAAGCTGTAACAATTTATAGTATTGTGAAATTCTGACATGCCAAATGTGACATACATGTCATAACATGGCCAATTTATAATAAATAAATATTTCCTTTATACTTATTTGGAGATATATCCAATATGGTCAGTCAACGGGTTTTTTAATACTCGGCTTTACAAATCTAGCCGGGTTCCTAACTTGTCCCCATTGAAATAGCGCCAGCGTGGTCGGGAGAAATGATACTATGGTTCAGGTTGTAGATCTCCATTTAACTAAACAATATTCGTCTTATATACTACTTAAATCTAAGAGGGGGATATTAAGGTACGTGATATGTAACTGCTAAGGAAGCACATTCATCGAACGTGAATTATTTGCATATAACTGCATTCCGTCCAAATCACGTTTATAACTTGATTCTTAATATTCACATACTACACATTCAATGGGAGTCAACGGGTTAGAGTCCCAGACACCCCTTTCTTCCCGTTAAGCGACAATAATGTTGCGTAACGAATAACGTTATATCTACTATTTTACTGGATTAGTTTACCTACATAAAATTAAAAAACGACCCAACTAATGTTTAGAAACGTCAAGCAGTTATAAAACCTTTATTACCTTTTGAATTTGATTAAACCTTTATAACGCTACAGCACTGAGCTCGGCGACAAGTTCGAGGTTGTTCTTGCTAATATACTAGCACTAAAGATTTCATAATTTCTTTTAATCATTACTCAAGGCGTTTTCGTCATCTACAGTTTTATAGTTTACGAGTTAAACCACATATTGATTTAGTCTAGACGCCACCTAAAACTTAAACTTGCGAGTGGAATCGATATGTTTAGTTAACGTGGTTCGAGGGCTGATGGTACACACACGTTAGGGTTGCCAACCGTACTGTAAAATAGTCTATATCACGAAGGCGTACTCTATCATCTATAAAACTTATAGCACTCTAAAATAAGATACCTATTCACGTTTACACAAAGATTTATTATATATACTAGCGTCAGTCAGGCATATATGATACATACCTATTACTATAATATCGAAACATAAATAATGCTTAACAGAAAAATAAAATTATATATTCTCTTCATATTACTTGTTTAATTTATCAATTTTCATAATGACATTTTAGATTATTACATTATATAATCTAAGAATGACCTATAAAATAAAAAAGCAATAAAAAAGTATATGCAATGACAAGTAAAATGAGAAATAACATAATCTTATAAAGAGGTCGTCACAGCTTGCTGGCTGTAACACAAAAAAAAAAACAAAACATAATAAAAAATATGACGAAACTCCTTTCTATAAGTCCATATTCTTTGTATTCATATCTGCTTTGAAATCAGATATACTATTTTACTAAAAGTAGACACTCCTAAAGTACGTATGTCAAAGCGAATTAATGAACATTTTATTGTAAGTAAGTATTGTATTGGAAATTTTTGACACTTATAAAAAAAAAATCATCTGTAAAATTACTTTTAAAAATCGTATCTATTTACATACATATCTACACCTGTTGTTGAAAATGAAAGTGTCATTTGTTGAAATAAGTTTATTGCTTGTATTTTTGGCCAGTCTTTAACTTAACTATTGATAAGTAATAAAATCTCTAAATAAGCATTCATAACTTATTCTTTATACTTCGTGTTGCTTTTGATGTAGTTGATTGGCAAAGATTTTTTTAAAATCGTTCCATTCTTTTTGAGTACAAACAAAAAATTTAATCTCTCATTTAGAGTATGTATTGATACATTTCTGGAAATGAAATGTGAATTATACATTTTATAAGAGACCCGAAACTTTTGTCTGACAGTTTAAAGAAAAAAAAATCATGATGCTAGAAACTTTAAGTCTTTATAATAATACTATAAATCACTGTTATCTCGCAACTCCAAGAGCTATTAATTATATTAAACCATATTCCCTTGCCATTTATCCGTATAAACACTACTTTTCTAGAGGGATCATGGTAAGTACTCGTTGATAAAATAGCAACTTTCCTGATAAAAGATCCGTTTGTATCCCCGGCCTGTCCGCCGCGTCTGACTTATTTGTTATTCCATTTAGTTACAAAGGATACGGAATTTATCAATGGTCTTTTAGAAAACTCTTGCAGTATATATTTACGTTCACGACCTTATGTGTATTATTATATTTACGCCTTAAAGTCTACAAGGCTTTATTTTTCCTTTCTTCGTGTATATATACCGCGTGTATTACTTAAGTTTTAAGATGAAATAAAAGTTTAAATAAAGAAAATTTGAAATAAAGAAATGAAACTTTAATATTTCTAAAATTATCAGTAACCATTAAATAGATAATAATCAACAGTAAAATATATATTTTATTCAAAATGACCACCCTTGTTTTTAATACAGGCACTTAGACGATTTGGTCAGTCATCAATGGCGGCACGAATCTTTTCTAGCGGAATTCCCTTTGCTTCTCAAACAAGGGTTCGCTTCAGTGACTCCAAGTTTGGGCGCAACTTTCGGCAGGCCCAGAGCTCTACTAATTCAGTCATAAAAAATAATCCACCGAGTTGAGATCGGGGCTGGAGGAAGGCCACTCGTCTACCGCGATGAAGGCCGGGACATTTCCCTCAACCAAGCCTGGATGCTTTTTGCCTTATGGGATGGCGCGAAGTCTTGCTGAAAAATCCAATCCTTATTGTGAAATAACTTATGAGACAGGGGTTTCACCACGGGCTCTAAAATGTCACTTTGATAATTCTCGACTTTCACCTTGACACCTTGTTGGCAGAAATGGAGTGGAGTGACACCTTCATACGAAGCTCCCTATCATTCATCCATCACACTAGCCGGATGATTAGAGCACGAGACATTTCGTGTAGAAGCTGGGACATCCTTGCTACTTTTAGTGTACACTTTATTGTTTTTTCGGTTGAACTTTTTTGCGACATTAAAAATTTTCTTGTCGGTGAAGAGTATCTTCCTGGCATCATGTCTCCTCAGCATCAATGGACAACGTTCGCGTCATAACTTACGAAGACGATCGTTTAAAAAGTGAACTTTTCTAAGGCCTATAACTTAAGATTATATTTCAGTATTATGTTCACTGAAACGCGAGAAATATTAGTCTGCAGAGCGAGTTTGTTCTGAGTGCAACATGTATTTCGGCGAAGTCGCTCTCAGATGATTTTGATGTTCGCAGGAGTCCTCACCTGGCCGACCACTCTTTTGGCGATCTCGCAGAGAACTTGTCTCTTTGCACCACTGTATTGTGTAATAGATAAAGTTACGGCTTACAGGAAAACTTCAGCTCGCGGGAAATCTGCATCAGTTTTTTCCCCGCCTTAAATAGCGAAACGACAGTTGCACGTAATTGTTTCGTTTCATCTATGACGAGAAAATATAAACAAATGAATTTTCGATACAAATAAAGTTTAAGTTAAAATTCCAAATTCAAAATCGGTAAAAAAAATATCAGCCAGTAACATTTTAATTTATTTTTTTCAGTAAAAAGTTTGTCTCAAAACTTATAAACACACGAGGTATATATTTTAAATAGCCTTTGGTTTTAATCGTTTTTAACATAGGTTTTAGAACGTGATTTTTAAGGCTGCATTTAGTTTTCTTGGCTTAATTTGATGATGATTGATTGGCTTGATAAAATTAACACCTGTATTGACTATCGTTTATGTTTATCGGTCACATTGTTATTATTTTGTTTACATGATTTCAATTTATTATTTTTATTTATTTATATTAATACATGAGTAGCTGGGTGACGTTGTGAATAAGCGCTACAGCTTGCAATCGTTGTTGTTAATCAACTCGCAAGGATTGGTCACGAGATGGATGACTAAAAAATAAATTATCTCGAGTTTCTCCGTGTTTCGGAATGCACGTTAAGCCGTTAAGCCGCATTGGGCTGGCGTGGAGGGTCATGGATCCTTAAGGAGGATGAGTTCTTAAGCATCCATAAGGAAGGTCTGAGCTCCTGCGGTGGGGACGTAAAGGTGTCTAAGCACATTTTTAAAATTTTTCGAAAGTACATGTGTTGCAGTTTGTTATTGGGCTTTTGTTATTGGAAAGACGTTTTTTAACTTTGTGTACTGCTGTGTGTACAAAAAATATAACCTACCTACATAAAAGAGACATGTGTAGTTATATGTATTTATCGCATTCCCATTCGTATGTTTACTGGCGAACGCGCTATCTGTATCTGGCAAGTTTGGCAACGCTGCCAAGATTGTGAGAGCGCCGTTGAATTGGTGAATATTCCGAGTAGCAAAAACGAAACCCAGCTAACATTATATCTACTATATAACAGCAATTTTAAGAATTCGAATAAAGCATTTTTACTTACGATGATGTTTTTAGTTTCAAATTATGTTTTTTCCTATAAAAATGATGCAAAGGTCGATCATCCGACGGTCAAAAATTTATTGAGACCTCCCGTGCTTCGAAAAGGCTCGTTAATTCAACGGTCGGTTACTGGGCTCATGGTCCGTTATGGTCCATTATCTTACCGACTTGTATCGTACTTATTATAAAACGATGACTTAATTTAGTACTTGGTTAAATCATTGGCTGCCTAAAGTAAATTGACAAGGACAGAAGAGAAGACGTCAAACGTGACGAGACGTGTCGACTTATTTTGGTCGTATAATGTTTTAAATCTGGTACTAAAGTTAGCCGTTATAAAACCATTCTTATTATATATAAGAAGATTGGTGTTCATTTTCATGTAGAATGCCTATGCACTAGCTGGAAGGATTTCGATAGGTTGAAGATGACAACATTAATCCTCTATAACATATTTATAATTAATATAATGTGTGTTTTGTTCCAGGTTCAAAGCAGAAGACATGTTGACGGAAGGTCAGTATCCCCATATATTTTAGATATTATAGTTTTATATATAAGAGCGTATTCGATTCCATCCATAGAGAAGGACTGAGCCCCAGCAGTGGAAACATTTATAAGCTGGTGATGATGGTGAAGACCTAGACGTACAAGCTATAGAGCGTCTTAGCAACGTAACTATTGCGACATTAGCAACGTTACTTCTTTGATATTGTCAATGTTGGTTCGATAATACAAACGGTACTACGGGGCGCATAGAACTGTTGCATAAAACTAAACTAGGACAAAGAACTCGATCAGCACGGAGCTTCTAGCTAGAGTAAACCCAAATCAAAGACTACGTAAGTTGACAAACTAAAATTGAACGCAGTGCAATGACAGCTCATTGGCAGTACTGCTCGTTCTTCGTTAAGAGTAAGCGAGAGGGCAATAATAATATATTCAAGCACAGCATAGCAAGTGGTTGTTCTTGACGAATTTATTATTTGTGTGAAGTAAAGAAATAGTTTACACACACCTAAAAAAAGAATTTAATCGCGTAAACAAAATATGTTAGTAAATAATAACAACGCTTTAGAGGTCAAAATTATTAATATAAGTCTTAATTTGTCAATTAGAATCTTCGTAGTGCGACGACTGCTTTCGTAGCTTACGGGCAATTGAATAGATGAACATTTATCTCGCGACAACTGTTTTGCGAGTGAAGGTTTCACATAATCACAAACTAAAAGTACCTACAAGAGGCATTTTGTGTGTTAATAATCAATTTTTTAAGAAGAAATCAACATCTCCAGAAGTCCCAGTTTCATTAAAACCTAGAAAAATGGACGATAAAAAGTTTAAGCTTGTATTTATTTGCAAGAGTATAGGATGCTTTTTGTAGAAAACTTTTTGCAAGATCTACAAATCTTTTTCGACCATTTTTCCGATAGCTCCCTCCACGTCAGAGATATATGTAAAAACAAAACTTTGTGATGTTTGTCCTCGGATAAAAAATAACACAATAGGTTTTTCTTTTAGTATATTATTTGTAATAATGATATTATGTTTAAGACCTACGGCTGATTTGGACCTAACATAAACGTAATGTTTTTATTTTGCTGTCGGTGTTTATAAAAAAATATGACTTTTTCTTTTTTAATTTAGTCATAGCGGTGATAATATATTAATTTAAGAAAACGTTTCTATTCTAGCCAGAGTCATAAATTAATTAAAAACCGTGTAAAGAGTTTCTAATTCCGCTTTAAAAACACAAGACGTTGAAAGTGCGTAATTGAGATTAAATCCTTTAATGTACTTCGGGTCGGAGTAAATATGATAAGCCCAACAAATTAAATTATGGCAGCAAAATATTAGCGTCTTTTTTCATAGGTTTAAAAGGTAATTTAATCATCGCAATATTGTTAAGCGGGATTTTTTTCTGCTCCATTTATATTTGGGACTTAATTAGGTTGGGAAGGTCGTACTGTGCGTTTCAGTGGCCAAGTTGTGTTAGCAGAGTATGATCCTTAAAACTTTGTTGTGGTAATGGATACTTGTGCACATGATGAAATGATGAAATAAAGTCTTGCATTTCCCCTTACATTGCATTTCAAACATATATTTATATTAAGATTACAATCAACATCGAAACTATATGGGTGCTAAGAAATGAATTACAGATAATAGTACTCAGCTCTCGTAGTACAATTTAAGTAAAATAAATCATTATAGGTTTTGTAATGATTTTCAGAGAAAACTGAAATCAGGTGAACGTGAAGGTAGTAGGCACACTAACGAGTTTGAGGGTCTTATGTATGTCAATAAATTGCGAATAAATAGTCACAATTAGTGATATTATAGCATATTATTTGTGACACTGTAAATTAAGAGATATTGGAAGATCTCAGTGCGCCTGCTAACTAGACGTCTAGGTAGCAGGGACACTAGAAATACGATTCGTATTGGTTTGAATTACTTTTCAAAAATAGGGACTAATTAGTTACGACTATACCACGAACTTTCATTTCACTCTATGCAATAGAATACGAGATATTTCTGATTATTGATGTGTCTGCTCTTAAAGCACTTGACGCTTAAAGCAAGCAACAAACGGGTAGAAATGTGAAGCTAATAACTACACAAATAATTATGACTTAAATTGTGATTCTTTTGATACATATAAACCTCTTTGTGATTATTATTCTTTAAAACTATTAAAATATTTCTTCATACTAAATGTTAATGGATGCTTGCAATGAATTTCAAACTTTATTGTGCTGCTTGAACTTTATTGGTTCAAATGTATTTTAAGTGATTAGATGAGTACCATCAAGAAAAGAAGTGATAATGTAATCGGTCTTGATAATAGGGGTCAAAGTATGAAATTGCCGATTTGTACTGAAAATCAAAATTGTTTTTTTTTTAACAAATTTATTTAATCAAAATAGTTACCATTATTATCTATACATGGCTGCCATCTAATAGGAAGCTCATTTATGCCATTGCGATAGAACTCTGAGGATCTAGACTGCACAAATTGTGTGAAAGCATTATGTACTGCCTCCTGGGAGGAAAACTCCTTGTCACTTAGATAATTGTCCAAATCACGAACAAAATTGTAGTCCGTTGGAGCAAGGTCTGGCGAATATGGAGGATGACGAATAGTTTCTAGCTGCAGTTCCTGAAGGGTCCAAACGATTTCTCGTGCTGTATGAGGTCTCGCGTTGTCATGAAGCAATAAAGGTTAATATCGATCGACATGTCAAAGCAATTGCGACCGCGACATTTTATTGAAAAATGTATAATAGAATGAACGATTACGTTCATTTGACGTAAATCGGAATTGTGTAAGTAAATACCTTTGAAAGCTGTTGGGTAATGTCAAATGAAAGCGTCAAAGACGAACTGCAATCTTTCGATATTTTATGTATGTTTTTGAAAGTTTTGTTAAGGATATACTTTATATTTTAAAGTATATCCCAATAACGCTCATTATTATTATTCTAGAAATAACATAATCTATAGTTACGTTAGAAAATATATTAAGACTCTTAACTTAATTGCTTTTGTATTATTTATTTATTTATTTAATCTTTATTGCCATATTAATGCAAACGGCGGACTTAATGCCATAGGCATTCTCTACCAGTCAACCGGAGAGGATAAGCAGAAAATTTGTAAGGCAGTGACAGTGATAGAGAATTCTGAATATAATTAACAATCATACACATATACATACATATATATATTAAGACAATACCCTACATATAAACACACAAATACATATATACATAAATAAATATATACATATACAGTTAAATAAACATGGACGTTTCAGATTGGAAAGTCAGGAAAAGTTGTTACCTTTTAGATAGTGTTTGTTTGAGACTATTTGAAGATAAAAATAAAAGAAACGAAGACTTTAAATGGACTGTAATTCGAGGAAAATCTCAATATAATAAATATGTCGCGTCGAGTAGTCCGAATGTGTATGCGTGCGTCGTCTGAGTGTTTGTGGCGCCGCGCCGCACCCGGCATCGATGGCAGCCGGGTCCGACGTAGTGATGTGCGCCCCCTCCTCGCTAGTGATGCAGGTGTAGGCGCAGACAGTGTTCACGCGCTTTTCTCTTGAAAACTAATCTGTTCGGAGCATTTCGTACGTCCAGAGGTAGTGCATTCCACAGCCGTATAGCAGTAAGAGAGAAAGATTTGGAAACAAATATAGAATGATGAGAAGGAGTTTGGAGTACCAGATTAGAACTGGAGCGAAGTTGTTTTTGATGAGAGGCACCCAAGTACTGAAACCTAGATTTCAGATATTCAGGCGCACGTGGATCGTATAGAATTGCAAAGAGAGTGTTTACGATTCTTAATTTCCTACGTTTGCGTATTGGCAACCATTTAAGGTGGTTACGAATATCAGAGATGTGGTCGTATTACGTAGACCGAAAACGAAGCGGAGAGTGTTATTAAGAAGACGATCCAACTTATCGAAAAATATTTGATTAATGTTAGAGAGACAAACATCTGCATAATCAAAAAGGGGATGAACAAGTGCCTGCACGAGGGCAGTCTTCGTACTGGACGGGAGAAAATTCTTAAGTCGTTATAATGCGCCAAGAGTCCCATGAACACGGCGAGAGACATTCGCCATATGGCCTTCCCAGGAGAGGGTACGGTCCAAGACAAGGCCCAGGCTTCTTACAGTGGAAGTGTAGGGGATCACCACACCATTATATGATACAGACGGAACGGCACTCAGATTCAACCGGGAAATTAGACTAGGGCTTCCTATGATGATGGCCTGACATTTGTTAGGGTTAACTGTTATGCCAATGCTCTGTGACCATTCCCATATTCGCTTGAGGTTTTGATTCAGCTGTATAATAGCTCTATCCAAGTAATCAATCTTGTCTTGTGCGTACAGCTGCAGGTCGTCAGCATACAGATGATAAGAGGTCGAAAGAATAGGTGTAAGTGAATTAATAAATATAGAGAAAAGGAGTGGAGAGAGAACGCCGCCTTGTGGTACATCAGCAAACAGGTCAGTCCAGTCGGAAACCGATTGATTGACCCTTACGGCTTGCCGGCGCCCGCGAAGATAGGAAGAGAACCAGGCAAGTACAGGGGATGAGCACCCTAGCTGGGAGAGAAGAGCAAGTAGGATATCATAGTCAACTGTATTAAATGCGTTAGAAATGTCCAGTAGTACTAAAACAGTAAGGCAAGAATCCTCCATGCCATCCCGTATATCCTCTACAATTTTTATAAGCGCAGTAGTGGTACTGTGCCCAGGCCGGAATCCCGATTGAAAAGGAGAAAGCAATTGGTTGCCGAAAAGGAATGAAGAAAATTGCTGATGAACAACAGCCTCAAGTATCTTGGAAAGGAAAGGTAAAATAGAAATTGGTCTAAAATGCTGCAAGGAACTGGGATTGAGAACTTTGGGTAGAGGGATAGTGAACGTGCTAAGCCAAACGTCAGGAAATGAACCGGAAGATAAAGAAAAATTTAGTACAAAAGTTAGTACCGGAAGTAAAGGATCTAATAATAAAGTGATCATGTTTCTACTAACATTATCTATATCTATTTCATAAAATGGTTTTTAAACTACCACAAATTTAGCAAATTTCACTAAGGTGACTATTACACGATGTAAATATATTCCTCCATTATTGGGTTACCACTCTTTTTTATACGTGGATTTACTCACTATGTACAGTTACAT